ATCTGAGATTTCATGTTCACGTTTATTTTCATTTTTGCATAGCAACTCAGTGTCTAGCTGCCTACAACAGGGCTATTCAGGACAATGACTGGGAAAATACCCTCACCTCAGTGGTTATGAAAACTGATACTAGTTTGTTGGCCTACGAAGACAACAGTTTCAGCTTGATTCACAGTGTGTACCTATCCACACGACACAGTCACATCAACAAGCGGCATATTTGGCCACCATGCAAGGTCACTACCCTCTTATGCTTAGAAGCAGTCCATCCAGGACAGGTTTGAAATTCCAGCAATGGGGCAGCAATGGGAAAGTGGATGCAATGGTGATGCAAAGTTTACCTGTCCTGGGAATGATGGGCAGAGCTAATACCTTAACTCACAGGCTAACATTTTATCTTCCACATAAAGTCTTGATTTATTTTAAAGACCAAATTAAAATATAAAGGAAGGCTGAGGCAAGTACTTTGCCTTACAAATCTATGTGTTTCACATCTCTCAGTATTTCCACATCCCTAGCAGCTTCTGGAGAGACCTACAGCTTTGTACAGAAGGATTTCAATGGAAAATATTAAAGTCTATAAAGGCAGCACTGCCACCTGGTGTTGCAGATAAACCACTTTGGGTACCTGGAGTTTTTCTAACAAAAAAAGACATTTTGTGTCTCACTTGGATTCTGTCATTCCCAGGGATTCTGGTAATTACTATTCTTTTCATAAAGATGCTTATTATCACTTAATTTTATCTTTGTTAATGATGAAACACTGGAGAATCTAAGTCCAGCCATGCCTCCTGTTTCCTTGATACCTCATTTTTAATAAGTGGAGTCCAAATTACTTCTGGACAGATATCTTCCTACCAGCAAGCAGCTTGTAAATGCCAAATTAACACATTTTCAATTCCTAACATCTTGAACAAATGTGCTTCTGTACACAAAATGCAGTCTTTGTTCTTTCCCAGGCTTTTTTCAGTACTGAAGTTTGCTTAACTCAGTCATGTTTGAACACTAAACTGAGTCTACAGAGAAGAGAGTAAGGCATATCTTATATGGACACAGTAAATGAGTTTGAGTCTGGGATGGCACCACATCACTGCAGCAGAGAAATGGAACTGAATTTAAATCAAAAAGGCTTCTTTTTCCTTTAAAGGTATTCTCACAACATAGCTTTGCAGAATAACAGTTCTGAAACAGTGTTTGAAACACACAAATAAAAGAGCATCTCCTCAATACAAGGAATTGACTCTAGCTACAGTCGCCAGCTACTACAGACAAGATTTTATGTGCAACCATGCAACTGACAGCTACAGAGCAGATGTCTGCAGGGCTGTCTCCTCTTTGAAAATGCTAATACAGCTGACACCGTGTTAACTTGTTTTCTCTTTTCTGTGAATAAAAAATGAAAATGCAAAGCATTCCTTTGAAAAGCATGGAACAGACATCTGCTTTGGATCAAGATCATTGGCAGAGCACCAGCAAAAACTGTGCTTGCCAAACAGTCACGAAAAGTCTTGCCAGACCTGGGAAAAGCCAAATATGGACTGTACCAGCACTTGTACAACATTTTCTTCTACAGTGGATTTCTATTGCCTTTGACATTTGTCAAAATAAGAACCCTTTTTCATCTGGAGGTGACTGGTTCAAATGCATCCCAGGGCACTAGTCTGTGGCTCCAGCCCAAAATACACTCCATGAGCAGTCCTACTGGCAGTAAAGGGTTACAAGATATTAACAGTCTCTGCAGGATCCAAGTTACAGTCATGAGTGTCCATCAGATGTTTCTGGCCCATGTACAGTAAAACATGTTGACAATACCAATCTAGCTGTTTATAGGCAACTAACAGAAACAAATTAGTACATAAAAACCACCACTCTGGTCCTTTTCCTGCTGGACAAAAGCCCTTGAGATTCATCTGCTGGTTCTTCTTTCGGCCTCACAATCTGTTTTACAATTAACAAACACAGTTCAGAGGCCCAAGAGTGGAAAATGGAAGACAAAGATTATGCATTAAGGGGTCTTCAAAACACTTGTGATACAAAATAATGCATATGCATCTTTAGCATGGAAAAATGTTTTGCATTATGTTTTCTGTTTAACATAGTCAGCAAAAAGATAGTGGAATGTTATTTTAAATGAAATCTATCCTAAGAATTTAGCTATGAAATTCACACGGGGGGATCCCAGTACCATATGCAGACCCAGTTTAAAATATAACTTTGTGGAAAAAAAATGTTTAGTTTCATTTTTCCCCAAAATAAAAGTCTAACATTTTAACAAGAAATGTAACTTTCCCTCCTGTAAAACTCTGAGGAAAATGTTATTTTAAAAAAATGTTTTTAAACAGGATTGCCCTCTAATACTTACAGAATAGATTTTCTTTCGCACGGCATTACAATTACAACAATGTCAATGATGAGGACACTTGGAGACAGTCTTAACTGTCAGAGACAAAACTAAGACATTCATAAAAGCTTTGGATTTTGTGAAAGAAAGAAATAAGCTTGTAGAAACCAAACATTTACTAAATGGGCAAATTCTATCTTGCTTCTGTATTAGAGTTTGAATATAAATGACAGATTTTTAACATGTTGAGCAGATTTTAACAAAGACCCTCAGAAGCATTTTGTTCCACACATTTTTTTTTATTTTGAAGTATTTATAGATGTTGAGCTAGTCATCAATTAGTTCAAGTCGCAATTAATTAGTCAAAGTAGAAAAAAAGAAACAAACTTTTCTTACCCAGGCTATGCTCTTCTTTTTGTCTCTTTTCCCATTTTGAGCTGTCCACATAGGCTGCAGAAAGAAGGTATCTTCTACCTAATGAAGAAAGAAATCACTACATAAGACAGGCTGCTTAGACATCTCTAAACAAATACTTTATTAGATATCACCCTTTTCTGTCACATTTACTGAGTTGGATGCATTAAACTGTCTTTATAACATACCTGTCAGCAGCAGATACCATAACAGTTCAGATTCCTTGTACGTGGATGAGCCCTTACCTGGTCATTTTTAAAACAGAAAAGCTTTCCCCTAAGATTTTTTTCAGCATGAAACAAATATTCTCAAACCTGAACTCTGTATTTAGGAAAATTATAAATTTGTAAAGGCAGAAAAAAACCCAAACAACAATAAAGGACTGCTGCTTTGTGCACACATAACTTTTTAATCAAATGCTAGCAATTGCCTAAATGTAGGCACAAAAGCATAAGCAAAAAATATGAACACACACAAAAAGGCTTTTCTGCTGTTGCTGGATGCCTATTTTTTCCATCTGCAAAGATTTGTCTCACTGTAAATGAAAGGTATATACTCATCTGGAAATACTCAATTTTTTAACCATCTCCTTTTCTTGCATCTCCTGTGAACTGCAGAGTTAACTCAAATGTTTCTGGAAGTTTTTTTTCCAAATACTCTTTGTACCACCTTTGAAATTTGCTCAAGATACTTTTCTAGTTTTTGAAACAAAATGGAAATTGCTTCAGTTGGAAGAACAAGCCATGTTTGTGCACCACTCACAGATGATGAGACCTGGAAGATGAATGAGGAACAGCTGGATAAAATTTGTTGAAGGAAGATATAGAAATACATGCTGAAGGCTGCAGATATTAATGTTAACAAACATTAAGGATTTTAAAAAGACATTGCTGTGCTACACGAAATTCTTAGCAACTACCTTAAAGCCTTTATCTGAAAAGTTATCTGCTGCCACTAGAAGTTTGTTATTCTTGGGTCTGAAACAATTTTACTCCTTATCATCCTTCTGACATGCAATTATACACGAGTCCAGCTCTGAACACCTTTGCACATTTTTGTCAAAAAGACCTGGTACACAGAATTCCGCAGTCAGACTATGAGAATATGTACAATGCGTTACCAAACAGTTGGAAAAGAAGAAGAGGTATTTTTGTTTGGTTGGTGGGGTTTCTTCTGAGGCTATTTTTCATTATGTTGATAAAGGAGGCACAGAAAAGATCTGAGGTTTGGTTTTTTTTTAGGATAAACTTCTGCATGCTCATTCACAGCTAAGGACACCGTTAGGGTAAGCATGAGGGTTTAAAGACCTATTTGCTATAGCACAGGCAACTGTCTGCATGACAGTGCTTCGCTCAGGTAAGCTGGCAGTCAGGTTTGAGCTATTCATGCAGGTTCACTGCAGACAGGCTCCAGCGCCGGAGGAAAGAGCAGTGTTTTTGCGACATGGGCATCGAACTACCGGGAAACAGCGCTGAGCAATTTCTGCTTGGGGAAGCTGAAAAGGCACAATAAAGTTACCTATCATCACCACATTTTAAGTAACAATTAGTGAGTTCAGTTCTTGCCAAAGGTCAGGATTTTTGGAAAGGTGGCTTTTCAAAAACAGTCTTGGTCGTGCTTCTGTCACCTGAGTTACTAGGTTTTGCTGAACACTTACTGCCGCGGGTTTGTTTGGCGCCCTCAACAACCCCGTGTGGCTTCCCATGACCCAAAAGGGCAGGTCCTAATATATCAAGCTATGAAACCGGCAAAGCGGAGTATCTCTTAAAAAAAGCAAAACAAGAATACTCTCCCGCACGGCATGCTAGTGATACGGCGTCCTCAGACAAGTCTCCAATTTTACATATATATATAAATATATATATATATATATACACACACATATATGTCTAAAGGCGAAGATAAAGTCCCCACACAGCTTCCCGTCCCCGGCCACCGCAGCCAGAGGCAATCACGGCGACTCGAGGGCCCGTCCCGCCACGGCCGATCCCCAGCGGCCCGGCCCGGCCCGGCCCGCGCCGTCCCTCAGCCCGCCCCGCCACCCGCACCCCGCCGCCGTAGCGAGCCCCGCTACCGCCCGCCAACGGACCACCGACCTGCCGCGGCGCCGAGCACCCTGCCGCTCCACAGCACGCCTGGCCTGAGCACGGTGGCGGCCATGGCGCGGAGGGAGGAGACGAGCGGAGGCGGCGAGGGGAGGGGGGCAGGCCTGCGAGCGCTCCGCCCCCGGGCGGCCCAGGCAGAAGATGGCGGTAGCACTCACCGGCGGCTCCCAGCGGGTGGTGTGGGAGATGGTGTGGCGCTCGGCGGCTTGTCCTCCCGCCTTGGGCTGCTGGGGCTGTGCGCCTGCAGGTACCGCGGGCTGCGCGGCGGGGACAGGCGGCGGGGTGCGCGGCCGAGGCCCTGGGCTGCCCGCTGCCGGGCCGGCTGGGGTCGGGGCGGGCCGAGCCGACCGGAATACTACAACTCCCGTCAGGCCCTGCGACCTCCACCAGCCGTGTGCCCGGCGGGAGTTGTAGTTGCTGTGGGGATGCCCCCTTCGGCGCAGGGTGCGGGGACGGGGAGCGCCGAGGGGCTCCCGGTGGGCTTCAGAGCGGTTTGGTTTGTGATGCGGTGGGCAGGCCGGGCTGGTGTGTCAGAGTTATCCTACGGGGAGGGTTGGCAGCAGCGTTGCTCCATATAATCCCGTGCTTGCCGTTGGCTGAGTACAAGACACTTAAAAAGCCAAACCAAAACAAACCCATGCAACTTCATAAGTGCATATTTATTCTGGAAGGATTACAGTCTGGTTAACACTGTCATCCTCCGAGAATAAATGGAAGGGCTGTGCCTGCTGGTTGTCCCCACCACCACAGCACCGGGTTTCAGAGGCCTTTCCAAAGGCATTCCCTCATCAGAAAACAAAATGAGGGAACATGGAAAGGCAGTGTATGGCAGAGGGCTCCCCAGCGTAGGCCCCATCTTGGCTCCTAGCTTCCTGCCCCAACATCCCTGGAGGTTTCACTCAGTTTACAGCTCTGTTAGACCCCCTCAGAGACATGAAGATCCTCCCTGCACGGTCGTCTGCCCACTGCTCTTCACTGGCCACCTTTATAGAGCATTGCAAGATGTCTGAAATAAAGCAGGCTGGCTGGTTAAGTTCTCCATAATGGCCTGCATCGCCTGTGTGTGCCAGCCATCCTATCAATCCTCCCTCTTTCCTCAGAGACCTTCTTATTTGGAATTGCACTGGTTTGTTTCTATAACACTGTAAGGTATGAATTTAAAGAAGTGGTAGAATTAAGCAAACTGAATTCAAGAAGGGTAGAATTCTGCTGCTGCAGGCTCTCTGCTGATACCGCCTGTGACTGCTGAGTGTCCCTGTAGGGTGGTGCACCTGTCCCACCCCAGGCATTGGCATAATTTGTGCATCAGCTCTGGAGAGGTCCAGGTCAGGGACAGTCTTTCGGTGTGAGACCAGCTGAGAAAATCTGTGGGAAGTAAATGGAAGGGTAATCCAGGCCAACTTCATCCCAGATAAAGTGTATTTGTTTACCCACTGGAACTGTTTTCATTAAATGTAATGGATAAAGGTGCCATTTAATGGGGTTTTTTCTTCAGATTTTATGAAGTGTGTCATTAGCATGCTTTGCTTACATGAAAAACAAGTGGGTTTTATTTGCATGGCCTGTTACATTTTGCTAGGGAAATGCAGAAATAAATAACTAGTCTCAGATCAATACTTGCTTTTGTCCCTTCATGATTAGAATCATTCTTTAAGAAGCCAAAAACTTAAAAGATTTGGCTGTGACAACATAAACTATTACAGTGACTGTCTGTTACAAATTCATTGGTTCCAAATAAAAATCTACTTCAGAGCTGGTTTTGTGACAGCAAAAGCTTCACAAATAGCATTTACATGCCACTTTTTTTAAAGGAGGTTACAACACAATACAGTTGAGGTCAACACACAAAGTTAATTGAGATTCTAGGCTCAGTGACAGTCTTACTTTTTTTATTTGATGTCTATACTGCACCAGAACTTCACTAGATCTCCTGAGTGTTACTACAATCCAAATAATAAACTCTGTGTTTTTAACTTTTGTGTTCCTACTGCATTTGGAGTTTCCAGAACAATGCATTCTACAATAGCAGGGACAGCACATGTGAAGAAAGCAAGCTGTGCCATTGTGGTGAACAAAGAGATGACAAGACAAATCATTATAAAAGCATGAAAGGGGAAAAAGGTCTTATTCTTGTGGAGAATCCTCTTGTACCTTGGCTAGGTGGAGAGGAATGGTGTCTCTAGTTTTTCTTTTTAACATGCAATAAATATATACTTCTTCATCCTTGTACACATTAACTCTGTAAAGCTGTGACGTAGTGCTCAGGTTCTTTTATCAGTGACATGAACAACTGCAATTTTTGTAGTCTTTTTTTTATTGTCACGTCACCAGTGGTCTGATGTCACACAATAATTAACAGCAGTAATTCATCAATGCAAAGTTCTGTAGTATTAAAACAGACAGCATGACATAGAACTCAACCTTTCTCTTTTTCTCTTATGGTAGGGAAGCGGTATCTGCTAACAGAATGTGATATAAAGTTACAAGAATTCCAGCAGCTGAAAGTGGCAATTAGAAATGAAGTTCATGGCAATAAAGGTATTAGTATTTATTTCATAATCACCATTCTCAATTTCAGCAGGAGTCCTAGGAAAGTAATTATAATATGACACCAATTGTCCCTATTTAAAGCAACAACTTATGTCTTCCTCTTGCAAATTTTTTGTAGCCAAAATTATTGGAAGATTGGAGGCTCTGTAGAATGCAACAGTATTAGTTATCCTGTGCTGTAAAATGTGTAAAAGCTTTCATGTATGCAAGGTGTCTAAATAAGATCTGAAATGTCTATGTCATTGTTTTTCCAACTTCATCAGATAGTCTAATAGAAAATACTGTTTCAGTCTACAAATCTTGCTTTAAATGTATTAGCAGAGAAAGTTAATACAAAGCCTAATAACTACTTAACTACCCACAGAAGTATGCCAGTAATTCTGTTTTAATCTGCTTGGTAACTAGTTAGGTTATTCGTATAGATTTTATTCCCTTTACCTAATGTAAGTTCTCAGTTGTACACCCAATTCCAGATGACGTATGCATACTCAGAATGTGAAAAACAAATTCATGTTTTCCAGACTAATGAAGGAGCAAGATTGGTGCATTTCTTCTGTTGGGGACTTTGTCATGCTGTTCAAAGTGTATACAAATTTCTTTCTTTAAGGAACATAAGTAAAAACATAAATATGTCCTTAATATTTAAGAAAGGTTACGTAAAACTCAATTTCCTGCACCTCTTTAGACATATGCTGGTGTTCTAGTGATACAAATTGTCAATTGTTCCAAAGGATGTAGTAAATTCTAGGGTTTTTAGTTGTGGCAAGGAAGAAACAAATAATCAAATATAGTTTTATATAAACTAGTCTTCTGGAACTGAGAGAGAGGTAAAGTCAACATGATAGTTTTTCTGTATTAAGTAAAAGTAGAATTTAAATCGGGCAGTGGCAAGTCATTGTGCTATTATATTTTGCTGTGATGATGAGGTAGTTATGTTGGGGATTATTCATCCTGTAGTTGAGATACTTTGAATTTATTGCTAAGAGTTAATCACTCTTGCTAAAACAGGATTATAGAAGCCAAATATTTGGCTTTACAGGTCAGAGTTGGCCTTTTTATTTTGTACAAATAGTAGTGCCTGACAACTGATGAAAACAATGTCCTAAGCACCTCTTTGTGTGTATGTTTGCATGATTTCTATACTCAGTGCTTAGTCTAACACTTGAAAGTTTGAAAGAAGCAATTAGGACTAGTAATAAACTTGGTATAGAAGTGGAAAAAGAAGTAATAACTATTCTGTTACATATAATAATATTTACTATTCTGTTACATATATTTATTATAGTTAAAATGCAACATTAACTATAATAATTATACTTTTAACTACAGCAGTTAATTGACTACAGTAGTTATAATAACTATTATGTGTTCTTTACAAATACAGTTTGGATCCCAGGTATTTAAATTTATGTGCACGTTTGAACACATCACAACCATTATATATGCATACACATTGTCGTAGTTTGAGGCTGGTTGGCAGTCAAACATCACGTAGCCACTCTCTCCCCCTTCTCTTCTGGCAATAAGAGGGGACAGAGAGCCAGGCTTCGGGTTTGAGATAGGACTGGGATGGGGAAAAAATCACCCATATGGCCACGAGTAAAAGGCAGATTCATTAGGGGAAGAAAAAAAGAACATACATTTATTACAGACACTAACAATACGTAACAGAGTAGGACAGTGAGAAACATTGCCATATCTTGAGAACACCTTCCGTCTTCTCCTCTCTTCTCCCCGGGCTCAGTTCTGCTCCCGATATCTCTACCTCCGCCCCCAGAGGCACAGGGGCAGGGAATGGGGGGTGCAGTCAGTGCTGCCTCTTTTTCCATCTTCAGTGGGGAAAGCTTTTGGAACTTGTTCCCCCTGCTCCATTGTGATCCCCCTCTCACAGGAGGCAGTACTCCACAAACTTTTTCCGACATGAGTCCCTCCCATGGGCTGCAGCGTTCCCCACACTGCTCCATCGTGGGACACCAACTTTCTCCAACTGGATTCCCTCCCATGGCTGCAGCCCTTCCCAAGCTGCTCCAGCGTGGGACACCCCCACATGCTGCAATCCTCCCAGTGCCAAACTACAACAGAGGGGCTACCTTTTCCCACAAGACCCCAGCCTTCTTTGGGCACAGCACCTTGATCATCCTGGCAGAAGCCACAGGCCATAAAACAATGTCTGCTCCACCACAGACCTCCATGGGTGGTAGGGGGGGCCGCCTTGCCATCTCCCCACAGGATACAGGGGGTCTCTGCTCCGGCACACCTCCCCCCTCCTTTCTTCCTCCATTCCTCCACTGACCTTGGTGTTCACACAGCTGCTGCAACTCCTCCTCACAAGTCCCACCGCTCGTCACCACGTCCCTTCTTAAATACGTTATCGCAGAGGCGCAGCCGATTAGCTCAGTTTTGGTGCTGATGTGGAGCTGGGGGAGCTTCGAGAAGCTTCTCACAGGGGCCACCCCTGTAGCCACCTCCCCTGCTACCAAAAAACCCCATCACTCACTCAAACCCAGGACACACATATAGATAGATAGATAGATAGATAGATAGATAGATAGATAGATAGATAGATAGATAGATAGATAGATAGATAGATAGATAGATAGATAGATAGATAGATAGATAGATAGATAGATAGATACACACACACATACACATACACATTCTTCTGACTTCGCAGGACTCAGCTCTGCATCTGTCTTGAGTCAGGACCTGTATTTGCGTGTAGCAACCCATACACATCCAGTAGCTGAATATGTTGTTCTCTGAGGTGCTCTCTTTGCACCTCTTGTCTAGGTTACTAGGTTGGAAACAGCAGTGACCCAGCAGCTGCTACAAAAAAGTTCACTTCCCTGCCCAAAACGGGACAGCACCATTAGAGGAATGGGCATGCCAGGTGTGGTGCGTGCAATTTTAATCTTATGTATGTCTGAATCAGAGCCTTGAGATTAACAACTGAAGGACTCGTCTTTGTGCTTGTTTTATCATACTTAAATATGCTGGATAGAGAAACCTCTTTTCAGAGGAGAAGGGAAGCGACACTAAGTTTATGTCTATGTACAGAAATACATAGAATTTGTATGAGACTCTGTGTTTGCATCAGTTGTGAAGGAATTTAAATCTTCTGTATGAACATTGTTGAATAGAATGAAAGCTAAGTGGGATTGGGTTTGTTTGATTGCTTTTCAAAAAAAGAACATAAGGCAGAAAATGTCACTTACAAAACTTTTTTAATCTTTAAGATTTTTCTTTTACCTGACATATTCCATAACCCACACAATGAAATTAAGTTCACAGTGAGCATCTTCTTGGTTTTCCAACTCTGACATGACTTCATGGGCACACTTAGGCATGCTTGTCTCTGAGAAGCTTTATGCGTTTTCTGTGTTGAAAAAAACAAGCTTTCTTCTTCATTGAATCTCCATGCTTCAGGTACTAACTATGCAACACAGGGAATTGTCTACAGACTGCTACTATAATGTGTTTTATTTTCAGATCTGTATTTTAAAAGTATGAAAGAAAAATTAAAGAAAAATGGAATTGTTTTTAAAAATGAATTACAAAAATTGCTGCATTTATGTGAGACTTCATCTGATGTGGAACTAGCCAGAAAAGTTATTTACAGGTATTTTTAACAATCCAGGTAACACTCTTTTCTGTCTTTATTTTTTTGTTTTTAATAGATCATCTCAGGTTATGTCTGCAGTTGAGGGCTTGTCCTAATTCAGTGGCTATATGCATAGTTAATCACTTGAACTAAGGCTGTATTTTAATTTATTTTGGGTTTTCCAATACTCCAGACAGTCTCAGATCAAAGGAGGGTTGAGCTACAGGAGCAAAGTGGTATCCTACTGAATGCAGAATGGGTGGTGAGCCATATAGAAACGTCTTCTCTCAGCTTGAGAGGTAGTGGTGTGCTCAGTGGCATTTCCAGCCAAGACATGCCTGGTCATAAACTTGTCTGGGCCCAGCAGCGGCAGGTCAAGAGGTTTTGTGAATAAAAACCTTACCAGCAATTACAGTCTATGTGCTATAAAGAAAAAAGTGAAATACTTTATATTTATCTTTTGTTTATTATTATTTTTTAGTGTAGGAGAGAAAAAGTTGAGGTATTTTAGCAGGTACTGCTGCTAAAGTAGACTGCTGCAACTTCCTGTGCTATTGCTCTGTGAATGAAAGGTAAAGTAGCTTGGAATTTTTGTGGCAGAGACCCATTCTATTTCTAATTCAATGCAGGTTACTTTACTGGAAATTAAAGAAATTACATATAACTAGTTAATTTATTAGCTTTATCAAAACAATATTTTTTCCATAAAATTATTCTCCTGTTATCTAAATGTCTTCAGCTGGTGCAGATAGAGAAGTGGGCCTCTGTGATTGCACATACAGATCTTGCTTTCTGTTTAAAGCTGTTTCCCCTTAACAAATTCCATGCCTTGTGTGGTTAACTTTTTTTAAATCTTTCTAATAGGTACCATGAACAGAATGGAATCGCAGACTTAGATAATTTTAAATTTGGGCCCCTCTTTATGAGGTTATGTTATGAGCTGGACCTTGAAAGACCTGCAGTAGAACTTATCAAAGATCAGGTAATTCCCCTATATATTTTAGAAATATTGTTGTTATTACTAGTTCAATATGAGTAATTGGTATGCTACACATGAGCCTTGCATGAGCTTACTGACTTGAAGTACATGTGTTGCAGCAGCAAGGACGTCTATGACATTAATGTAAGGATGCAGATTACATAGGTTTTATTTTAAAAATAGGCAAACAGCAACTAAAAGAAAATTAAATGCTAGTTCAATTGATTATTATTGTATTTGTGTATAATGGCATCATTTGAATAAAAGGTATTGATTTAGAAAAGTCATTCCTCAAATGAACACAACTGATACATGTCTTCCTGCATCTTGTGTTGCATTAGGTGATTCTTGGAAATGAACACTTGTGAGTTTTTATATAGTAGTCCTCTGAAATTCCTTAGATTGTTTGCACCAACAGATTTATCATGTTACTCTGTACTTCAAAATCCCTCTGAGCCCTGTAGAGGTGGTATGATACTCATAAGATCAGGAACTTGGCCATTTTAGTACCGAAGAAACTTAAGGATTTGGTTTAGAACATCTGTAAAATGCTGTGTGTGCTATTATGACAAGGTATTAATCATGTCCAGTGTATAATAAATTAAAAAGATTCTGTGCAATAATATTGTGTCTTCAAAAATCCCTGGTGATCAGTGGAAAGTCATCTGTATCATGTTAATTCATTAAGGCATGAGATATGCCTAGCCAGAAATGGGAGAAGTCTTGCTTGGGCTACTTTTATTAAATTAGGCATATGGAAAAATATGTGTGGATTTTGTTTTGTTTTGTTTTTTTCTGATTGAGATCTATGTCATTAAGACAGGTCCTGCAGTATGTTCAGGACTTTGTAACTGATCATAAGGCACAGCACTACTTCTTCAGACTCTGCTGCAGAAATTTAGACTTAATACTTCTGTCATTTTATTTGGCTATTCCAAACACTCACTGTGATTGAAGTGTAAAGTAAAATATACTTGCTCTTTCTTTTGCTACTCTGCTTGTCATCACTCAAGCCCTTGTGTTGATCTGTTCATCATTTGATACTGTGATTAGCAAAAAATTCTTTCTGTTTCATTGTGGTGATACTTTGCCCCAAAGATATTGTTAATCAGCTGCAAGCTGTATTTCTTCTGAGATTTTGGAATTGCCATTAGTGACTTCTGCCTGCATGAACTTAGATGTTCTATCACTAAGAAAAAACGATAGTGTGAATCTGTGGGAAATTTCTGTTTAGTTTTAGTGAGCTTTTGACCATACTGGGTCACTGGTATTTTAGAGGTTAATTGACAGAGGGACAGTCAGGAAATCCACAGAGTTAAATGTTGAGCTTGTGAAGATGTGGTTTATTCCAGTCAGAAGACCAGCTAAATGCTGTGCACAGTAAGAATACTCACTGTACTAACTTTATTTATGCTTATACTGTTTGTATGTTTCTTCTCCAGAATTTGCATGGTTTTTTCTCAGAGAGTACATCATTCCATATTTTGATGACTATGTTGTTTAAAAAGGGCCGTTTTGAAAGTAAGTACCATGTTTGCTAAGGGAAATGTATTTTGAGGAGGATGCTTCTCACTGTAAGTGTGTGTGTATATAAATATACATGTATTTTAAATGAATATTACTGACTGGTTTATGGGTTTAGAAGGCCAAACATCATGTAAATCACTGTAGATGTGAATAAGCTGCACTGTAGTGTATAGTAAAAATGGAAGGCTGTATTTGTTTCATACTTCCAATGGCATTCTTACCATTCTCAGTTGCACGGAATTGTGATTATCCAGATGGCTTGTTTCCTAAACACAGAAACTCTTCTATGAAGGCTTAACTTCTCTTTGGTTTTTAATTTCCCATGGCTTTTTGTTTTCTCTATTCCAAGTTTGTTTTACATTTTTGGAGCAGTAAGTTCTTCAGCAGTCTTTCTGGCTATTCTGCATTTATGTCAGAGCAGGGAAGAGTGCCTTTTTTCCTTTGCAAACAAACCCAGACCATAGTCTTGGTTTGTCTTATTAGTGTGACCACACAGACTGGCTACTGCAATATTTAAGTTAAATGCTTTAAATCAGTTTGGCCCTTTGTGAGGATAAGGGGGAACCATCTGACCTGACTGAAAATACTTTCCATGAGAAGAGCTTAAATTTAGTATGAAGTAAGCTTTTCAAGCAAATCCCATTATTGAAAACGGTTGAACATGCAGCGCTTGGTGTCTTGACATTTGGCAGATCTAAGTCCAGCAGTTGTCCTAAAAGTTGAGACTGAACCACTGTAAAAATAACTAGATCAGAGCCTGAATGCAGTGTTGTGGTGTAGTGGAGCATGGATGTTACTGAGAAGCTAGTTTCAGATGGGAACTGATTGTTAGATCAGGTGTTACTAGTTTCCCTAAAATGGTAGAAGCTTTGATCGTGTGTCTTTGTAAAGTATTCAGAATTTAGTTTTAGATTTGTATGAAAATAATAAAACAGTAAGACCAGATACTAGTGTAGATTGAAAACCTTCTCACTGGGAAGAAATATTTACATCCAACTGACCCTAAATTAAACCTTTTTGAAATGTATTAGGTTTTTTTTTTTTAAATAATAGATCTCCGTTTACATTCTTATTTTGAAATAGACTTACTGAACTCATACCACGTTGAAATTTTTTTTTTTCAATTATTAAATGTACAGCATTAAATTTGTAAAGTGAGTAACACTAATGTATTTTTTACAGGTGCTTTTGAAGTTCTGATAGAAATGAAAAAACAAGGTATACCATTCAACAAAGAAACCTATCTACTTGCATTTGCAATATGTTACAAACTGGTAAGTATTTTCAATTTATGTGATGATAAAGTATTTGAAATGCCTTCTCTATGTCTTTTTTTTGGATTTTAAAATTTCCATATCTTCCTAGTCATGATTTCTTACCTAGTACAAATATTTTAGACATATTTAAGTCCTAAATTGCTTCATTGTGAATAATATGGTGCACATATATAGCTTCGCATACAAACTAATGTCACAAAGTAAATCCCTATAAAATTGCATGGACTTAAACACTAAGGAACAAATTTGGTACAGCCTTTAATTAGCTGATAGGATTCTTACTCTAGAGTCTGCGCATCACTTCAGGCTACACTCTGTGCTTGATTTATAATCTGACTTCCTTAAGAAATAACGCATATATATGGAATACTCTGTTTGTCAGACATTTCCCATCCATTTCTCTCCTCCCCTTCCAAGTAACCTTTAACCATTTCTGTAATTGCAGCCAAATTTGACAAGGATTAGAGTTCTCAAAGGTAATCTGTTCCTACATGCCTGATCAAAATGAGCAGCTGAGTGGAGAAAAGAAACCTAAATGCCTTCAGTGAGAGACAGGCTGCCTCTTAAGCTTAACTGTATTTTTAGCTCTGAGAGAAAGAGCATGAATACAGTAAGAAACTAGGCTATACAGGTCCTATGAGTGTTTCCTTAGGAGTGTTTCCCTTTTATAGCAAAGTGAGACCCCCAAACTATTTTGTTTTAATTTCCCCTCCAGTTTTGAATCAGTTCTGAAATTTGAAATATTGACATAGGCCCTTCCCAAATTCAGTAGGAAACTCTTCTTCAATTTCTTCATGGTTTTAGGAAGAAAGACACTAGCAGAGGAAGAGTTATAGCACTAGACTAAACTTCCTCAGGTTTCTCAGTTAACCTTACAATGAAACTGTGCATATGTGGTAAAGAGGAGTTAGCCTAAAATGATAGCTCAGCAGTAATTTATGTGGTGCTTCTGAAATTCTCAGGTCTAATGAATCAGGGCTGCCTTTAGGTCAGGGGAGATAGAAATTGCCATATGGCCTTGATATTTGGAGAGTGGGGCAGTAGGCAGAGCTAAGAAAGAGCTGTGGAAGTTGCCTGATGTTAAAAACAGCTAGAGACAGATGGTTACAGTTGGTTTGGGGATGTTATTGGTTCTATGTAGAGGGCACCTGTTTAGAAAGTTACAAATGCACAAAGACACTGACACTGTGCTACAATCCAAGTTTATAAGATGGTGTTTGCTACTAGTATGTACTGAGGCAATATTTACCACTGCAAGCATATTCCTTGGTCTATACCCATTTTGATAGAGGCTTTCACAGGAACTCACTGTGTTTCTCTGAGGTATCTTTTACTCCCCCTGCTGTAGCTTCTTCTCTAAAATCTTTACATGGTTCTTTCTGTGTCTTGCTGTCAGAAGGCTTGGATCCATGGCATGTGCAACAGGAACAGGTTCCTGAAACTTCTATTTTCTACTACTTCTGGCCATACCTGTTTTTTTAATAGAGAATCTGACCCACCATTTAGTGAGTTGATAAAAATAGAGGGGAAATTATCTAAACTGTCACCCATTTGTTTTAACAGCCACAATGAATTTGTGGAGGTTTTTTTAAAATTCAGATAAAATACTATCAATAAGGAAATAAGCTGTAGTAACCATTTATGCACTGCACAGAATTAGGTGGAGCTCTTTCAAAAGCTTTATCTTTTGATTCAACTGTTACTAGTAGGAGGAGGAACCATGAAGCTCAGAAGTGGTTTTATTCATGATGCAACATAAGAAACTTCAGAAAAAATCTTGAAGGGAAATATCTTCAAGATATGCTACTTGAATACTGGAAATAATGGTGCTGGTATCATTAAGAGCAGCGCTGGATTTTTACAAGGTTAATTCTTGGTTTCTTTTGAATAACCATGCCAGAAACTAGTACAGAAAAATTTTCAAGGTTTAAAGCTCAGATTAATTCTAGTGGATAAACAAAGGAATTAATGTTTAACCTTTGTACAGAAGTGTTGTAGAGGTCAACTCTAAAACAATTCTGGGATGTTTTAAGTCACTGTAAGGCACTGCTATCCTCTAAGGTAATAGATGGTCCTTCTGTTAGTGCAGGAAAGGGCCATAGGCCTTTTGATGGCAACAAAACATTTATGTAATAATAATCAATCTTATGATGATCAGAATGTTTCTAATTTTTCAAAGAACATGTTTTAAACCACAGGTTTCTTATGTGGCTTAAAAGGTATTTTCACAAGATGTGCAAAGCATTCAGCAGTGGAATTGAAAAGCATCCCTTAAACACCCAAAAGATGACCTTATCCCTTAAATCATGGCCTGTATTTTGCAGGAATGACACTTCGAACAGTCGGAACAGAAATCAACACCAAATACAATGAAGGAATGTGAAAGCTCTTGTCCATATTGGTGGTACCAGTTCTTAAAAGACCTTGCTTCTGCCAGCTTTTAAGTTTGGCAGGTATTACTTTGTTTGGGTTAGAGTCAGCTCTACTCATAATTTCCAGTGTGAGGAGCATTGATTTTGAGAGTTGGTGGTTTGTAAGATAACACACAGATAAACTCATTGCCTTTTACTATAGACTCCTATTGAAAACAGTACAGCAATAATGGAAGCTTTCTGTGTTGGAAGGCAGGAAAATGTCGAATCTATTGTACTAGAATATATACTTTGGAAATGTCTTTCAAGATTTAATATATAAAAGAGGCTAAAAATTGCTGAATGTTCAAATTTGAACATACACGGATTTCTTTAGTGTAATGGTGCTGAGTAGTTCAGTGCTTAGAAAACATTGATTGCCATTAACTGTTGTCACAGAGGCTTGCAGAATCAAAGGAAATTTATTTTAACCAAAATTGTTCAACAGGTGATAAACTAGGAATGAAGTCTGTTTTAATCAAAATCGCTTAACGCTCCAACAGACATTAGTAAACCACAGGTTCAAGATGCCAAATGGAGTTAATACTACACAGCCAACTTGGGATCCTAAGCTTGGAATGATGAGTCAAGGCATGCAATCATGACGTATAAGATGAGGGCTCTCAACCTTGAGGAGTTTTCTTAGGGGACATCCCAACCCAGGGAGAGAGTCCCCAATTGCAGACCCACTGCTTCCAGGAGGACTGACTCGAAATGGCCCTTCAGTGGGGCTCCATTTATACCCTAGTCAAATTTGCTCTGTGGTCATACATGGTTAATAGTCCAGAAGTTTCTTTTGACAGAAGTATTTCATTGATTGGGAAACTGTCTTCCAACCAGTCACTGAATGACTTTGCCCTGCTGATTGGGCAGCCGGACTCCTCAATCTTAACTATTGTTTTTTTCTGACAATTGAGAAGTTTTTAGCATTGTCAAGGTGGGGTCCATACCCCCAGCCCACTAGGCCACTCGAGATATTATTGACTGGTCGTCTGCTGGCCCATCACTCAGAAATACTCCCAGACACCAGAAGCCCCCTGCTTCGTCATCACTCGGCAATATCCAGTTGCCCTCAGTTACAAAAACTCTACACAGATACTTGCTTTCTATTTTACTTGGGCAAGAACTTAGCTTGTAAATCACTGAGCTCAGGTCCTGTCCAGGGGGTCATGTGGACAGTGGTTTTGGGGTTCCCACCTTGTGAGCCCATATGACTCTATTTTAATAAGAGGACGCACATACTTTTCCTTCAACTGCTCCACTTCTTCAGAATTATTCTCATCAGGATCTTTCCAGATGTCCCCCATCCCAATCCCTGGGGTCCGCACCCCCAAACAACTTCTGGATTTGGACAATACTGGGAGGCTTTTTAACTTGTGCTAGGATGATTTTAATTTTTTGTTTTAATAGACATGTCCACTCTCTTTCTTGTTTCTGGTCTCCCTTTAAACATTCTATTTCCAATTGCTTTTTAAAATTGTCCTTTGCCAATCTGTCAAAATTGTTATTTTGTTCTTGTTCTTAAATCAAGCAGGTGCCTAGGATGGCACCTTTGCCTTTACCACTCTACTATTTCCGTGACAACATTCTGTTCTCTCTACAACCACTGCTGGATCGGACTACTTTTCCTTCACCCATTTTGTACCTGGGGGAGAAAGGCTACAGCCATGCCTCCTGAATAATTGCTCTATTGACATCCTGCAGACTATGCCAATTTAAATGTCAAAGTTTTTTTTAACCAAAGTATTTAATTGGTTGGGGACCCATCTTCCAACCATTGTCACTGTACAACTTTGCCCTGTTAATTGGGTGGCTGGATACCCAGGTCCCAGCTACTAGCTTTTTTTGACAGTTGAGAAGTTTCTAGTGTTGGGAGGGCAATGGTGGGGAGCACCTGCCACAGCTATCCAATGTAGCTTGTAGAATAAAGTAAGGACAAAAAGTCATCTTTCTTCCTAATGTAGGAATGATTGGAAAGTGGAAAGGAAAGTGTCTGTTGGTTTTAGCGTACTGCCAGGGTTGTTTTATCTCTTACAGAAGCCCAGACAGCTAGGGCAAGGTGTAGTTGTTAAAATAATGAAAGTGCTTTCTACCCTCTTCTGAAATCTGTAGCTTTGCATATCGTCTTTTGATGTTGTGTTTCCCAAGAAGTACTACGCAGAATCTGCTTGGTTGAGTTCATATATGGATTGCCTTGGTGATCTTATGTATGTTTACTTCTAAATGCAATTGCCTACAGTCCTTTCAGATCACACAAATAACAAGTGCAACTTATGTTTGAAATTTCTATGCAGGACAGCTTGGAGTCTTGGAAAGCCTCTGTGAAACTGCTTGAAGAAGCACAGCTAAAAGGTGACACATTACCACTGCGAGCATTATGCTTTGCTGTGGCAACTGCACTGAAACAGGTACAGTACCTCTTGTTTTGATTTGTGCCTGAATTTCTGTAGTTTTATTGTAGTAAGTTAGCCAGTGAAAGGAAGCTAACATAGAGGAAGTGTAACTAATCTATGTAATACCCTCAAGTACTTGAACTTCTAGGCACCTGAAAGTGTAGGAGTGTAGACAACTCTCACACAGAGTGAATGTGGAAATTCTGAAATCTGAACGTATGTTGTGAGTCTAATGCACAGATGTTTTCTGTTAGTGACAATGCCATATAGAATATTTTTAGAAAATGGAAGAGAATTGGGCCACCAGATCAGATGTACCTATGGACCCAGTCATGTAGATACTGCTATTTAGTGATGATTTCCTTTAAATAGAATTAGAATGATAATTTAAAATATTTGCACAATCATCTCCTTAAAATGTTTACCTTGGGAAGCAAACTCAAAGGCTGTGATGTGTATTTCCCTGCTGCCTGGGACATGGCCTGTCTTTCTCCACAACATGTTTCTTCACAGGGAGGTTTTCATATACCTCTGGTGCCTTAGGCACTGTTACGAAGAGGGTCTGAGGCTGAACAGGGTGAAAGATTGAGCAGAATAATAACAATTAGGAAATTCTAAAGTCCAGTATTTCCTCTGCCATTAATTTGTGTATACAGCTTGAGGAAATTCTGAACCTGTTTCATGTCTAAACAGAGCTCAGGGGCACTGTAAGAGCTAGCGATTTGATGTTCACAGATTTGAATGAATGAAGTAGAATTTTTACATTTTTCTTATGCACTCTGGGGTCTTTTTAGCACTGTCTCTGTGAATAGAGACACTTAATTAAAGCATCATTAAAATTAATTTATTCGTGTGCATGATGACATGACAGGGCTTCTCATTGGCATTGAGATTAAAAAACAAAATCTTTGTCTTTGAAACAACATGAAATATCCTTGATGCTGTTGCTTTATGTAAAAATCAGTTTAAATTCCTGTTCTGCAAGCAGAATAATGCTCCAGATTATGCTTAACTATTCCTTAAGCTCCATGATCTTTGACAGTACATCTTGCTGTAAAATGAGTTTTGATCCCAAGTAGCAGTAGCTGGTCTAGTAAATGTCAGTGCAACATTTACTGTCTGTACGAATCAGTTGATGGCATAGATACAGTACTTAAGTGCCTATGTCCAAAAGGTTAAAAGTGCTGGGCACGGTAAATACCCATATTAAAATATGTTGCAGTTCATTTAAGTACTCTGAGATGTACCAAACTGGAGCATATGTGTAGATCTTCTGTCTTTTAGGATCTCTTGTGTTAAGTGTTGGTTACACTTCCTTTCCCTGCTGATCTGAGGCAGAGAGTACTGTGATGTGCTAAAGGGCCAGATAACATAGCAACTCCAGCGTGGAGTGTTCTTTCCACAGGCTGGATGCTGTTTGGAGTCTATTGGTCTTGGCAGAGGGGTTCTAGATGATGGTTTGTGATTCTTTGAGAAGTTGTGAAAGGCTATCGTTTTTCTTGAACTTTTATTGTGAAAGAGTGTCACACATGTTTAACTGTATTTTTTTTCATTATTTATAATTCCTTCCTAGAATTATGTAGCGCAAGCCAAATTTTATTGTTCACAGATAATGGAAACGGAAAACAAATTATACAGTAATCTTAATGTAAGTATGCTTTCTTTGTATTAGAATCATTCAGAGAAATATACTATACTGGGAAAAAACCTCCCATGTGCAAAGTAGCAGAAGTCCAGCTTCTTAGTAGCACCAACATGTATCAGTACTGTTGCTGAGCTTATTTTTGAGCCAACAGATAATTTCTGTCAGTTGGATGAGTTACATTCTGAATTGTTAAGACCCCTCCCCCATTTTTTAAAATCTCTTCCTACAAAAAATGGGAATGGAAAGTAGACCAGTCCTACATCTGCAAGTACAGAGCCGTGAACAATTTCTAATTATGACATTGTGACTTTTGGCTTTCCTGCTACCAGAGATTTAAAAAAAACACAGCTCCAACTAGATGCCTCCCTTAGCTGTGCTCTGCCCACTTCAGGCTTCCTTCAGCCCTATGAACCTTAACCACGTATGTAAATAAAACAATCTTTTTCTTTAGTTGCATGGTCTGCAACTTGAGAGAAAGTCTACTGCATGTGCCCTGTAAGTGATCTCTCTAAGCTATGGGAAAAAACACTTTATTCAAGAACAGCTAATGCAGCTCCATCAGATGAGCTCTACCACCAGGCTTACCCTCCCTTTCCAGGTCTCAGCTGTGAAAAAAAAGCAAACCTCTGTGGAAATTGATCATTCTCTCTGCTTTCTTCATGAATAGTGAATTGTTATCATTACAGCATCTAGAAATGTATTTTGTTCTGCTTTGCTTCATGTCTTCCTTAAACACTTTTTAAAAAATTTGCTTTCTGATAAGTACTATTTGTACGGTGTGGTTTTATTTTATTTTTAAGGTTCTTGTCCAGCTCAGATCTAGTTCACTAGAAGAAGTAATCAAGACATTAGAGGCAGCAGTGGAAGTAGATTCTCCTCCCTTTGTGAAAAAAATTGAGTTTTCTGAGCAGGTGGTAAGTATACAGTAATGTGAAGGGGTCCAAGGTGCCTGGCTGAGCCATGATGATGGTGGTTCAGCTACAGAACTTCAGGTGCCTGAGTTCACCTTACCAAGGTTGTTTGGGTTCTGATGCATTCAAATGCCAAATGCCAGCTGGCTGGACTTCTGTACTGTTGGACAAAACACTTAGCTGTCCTCTTCCCTCTTTTATTGTGGATCTTACTTGTAGAAGCTCAGATTTCATCTGAGTGTAGATGAAGTGTTCCCTAGTGGCATTAAATAATTTAATCCCTTGACTTCTATGCTGTTTTCATTTGATGTAAAAATGAGAATAAAATTCTGATCACAGAGATACTGTTAGATTGATAATATTTGCAAAGAACTGTGATGCTATACAGGGAAATGTGATATGGGAAATAATAACATTTACTATCTTACTATAAAAAATAGCTTTTACAGTACTGATCACGAAGAAGGCTTCCTTCAGAGCACATATGTACCCCTATTAGCTTGGCAGCACTCCTGCTGCTTTTCCTGAAACTTGTAGGGTATTAATTTTGAATGTGTCTATGGAACAAGATATTTTAAAACTGTGTTAATGGTTAAGTACTTAGCTTTTCACTGCAGCCTGTTAAACAATTGAATAACTGATATGTAAAACACAGATACTAGATAAAACGAGGGCGTACCTTTCAAAACATTGCCCATATATATTAACTGCTATGTTGAAAAGAATTCTTTTTAAGCAGCATTTAGTTTTGTAAATTAATTTCAATAAATGCTGACTGTGTAAATGTTGTTTTTTGATTTTGTTTGGCAAATTTGTAACAGTCCCTAAGAAGACTAGGCGTTAGTCCTAATCCATTCCTTCCACAAGAGGTTGTTAATCAATAACAGTTTTTAAGAGATTCACTTATACTCGAACTCATACTCTGTCTATGGCATACAGAACTTCTCAGTGTTCTGTAGTCTGATTTTTATTGATTTGTACCGTACTGTACATTTAATGTGATACACAATAATAATTAGAATAGTGCTGACCTAGAAAGTAGATTCCAGGAAGCAATTACATTTCCTGGGTTTAAATATAAAATAACAGTGTTAGTCTATAGTATGGCTGGAAATAGGGCTGTACAACTTTGAGGAAGTTTTAAATCTAATAAACTCTCTCTAATAGGTATCCAGTGCATTTCCACCATTGTCTGGTGATATATAACGTGTGCTGCATAAGATCCTCTTATGAGTCACTGCATTAGACACATCTTTGTGTACTTTTTTTTTCATTTGAGTGATTGCTGGTCTTCAACATGATGGTTGAATGAGATCTCACTTGCTGAACTGTAATTGTCTGACATTTTCTCCTCCTTAGCTGGCTACAGTCAGGAAAAAGATGGAAGAAAACCCTGACCTCTCTGCCAAATTAAGAGATATTTGTACGAAACTACAAACTTCAGGACGGATAACCATGTGCACGCTGGAAGACATGCTTTTCCAGATTTCTAGTTCAAAAAAGACCCCTGCAAAGCTTTTAAATCAGAAGCAATTGGGCTATCAGGCTGCTAAACCTCTTTGGTCAAATCTCTTTTTGGAATAGTTCCGTATTTGATGGCAAACTGAACTGCTGTTAGCATCTCTTAGAAGCCAGGTTCAAATAAAATTTCTCCCCTCCTTCACAATGAGCAATTGTTTAAGTTGTTTGTGTGAAACGGCATTTTAAATGCAGATCATGTAGCTTCCAGATTTCCGTTTTGATGCTAGAAACAAGTCGCGACTGTGGGTATTTATTTGTATCTTGTTCAGAAATGGAGTGATGGAATGGTTTGAATTTTTTCCTCGGGCACTTAAATCAGGATTTTCCTTTGCTGAACATCCTGATGGAAGTGAACAAAATAGTATGTATATCTGACCTGACTTCTGTGGTTCATGAGAAGAAAATTCAGTCTTCATAAAATGTAATGTTCTGACTGAAAGCATAGATGCAGTGCAAAGTCTAGATAAAAGAGTGGGGAAGTGCCTTAACCATTTATTCAAATTCTGTACATCTCAAGAAATCAGAGGAAAGCAAGCATTTTTTGATCCCTTTAATATCTTTTTCTTCAGAAGCAAAATATTAGTATGTTTTTTCATATCAAATGGGATCATGGAAATGCTGTAGGAGGTAGCATGGTAACCAACTGGTCGTGTTTTCACTTGAAGGAGATTACTGAAAAAGAGTCTCACAGTGAGTGGCCCCACATACTGCTTCCTTCAAATTTTTTGATACTAAGCCTCCCAGGATAAGCAGATCTTGATAGAAATTTGCAACTGAATCCTAACAAGTTTCTTAGAGCAAGCACAATCAATTTTTTAGACTGGAATTATGTATCATCTGCATAATTCACTCATATGTAGAGTAAGTGATCGTAAAAGCAGTACAAAGAAGCTTCACGTTGATGCATCTTGAATGACTCCAGGCTAAATGTGCTTGGTCCTAGTAGTAAAAAGCTGTTTGTAACTATGAGTCTTGCATACCCCAAGATCTTTTCTCATTCACCATCTGGAGTAGAAGGAATTGGAAACAGCCATACCTTGGGTGTCACTCAGGTACTTTTGGTTTACTTCTGTGTATGAAGTGATGAGCCTGTTACAGAACTTAGCAGTCCTGTGAGCACAAGACTTGGTAGAGCCCAGCGTAGTACTCTCCAAGTTGGGCCACCTAATCTCTCCTTTGGCTTCTTTTCTTTTTATTTTGTCTCTCTACCTTCCTCAAGCAAATGTCAGAATTCAGAGGATTCTTTCTGTGAATGAATCTTTGCATGCTATATGAGACTTTGTTGAAGCCACTGAGTCACTGTGAAGAAACAAGAATCCATCCATGCAGAAATGCATCTTTAGCAGGTCAGGGAGTTCCTTCTGAGGCTCTAGTGCTGTAACTCATTTCTGTTGCCATTGTGTCTTATTAATGCTAAAGTGCACAGAAGTGTTACAGAGTGGATGGAATTTCGTGCAAGTGTAACTGAAGAATAGTTTGTAATTTGTATCACTTTTTTGTGAAATATGTGCGCACTTTTTACGAGTGGTTGCATAGGTTAAAGTACTACATACGTTAGTCTAAGAACACAGCTAATTACTTCTGTAATACTGTGTATCTCATAATTACACACATAATTCAGGAGTACAGGTGTTTAATCCTTTTCTTTTCCCTCAGTTGGAAATTCTTTTAACACTTCCAATACAATTTGGACCCTTAAGTAGCTCCCAATCTTTTCTCCACAAATAAACTTGATACAGGATTTGTGAAAGTTGCTCACAGTGTGGCAATAATTATTTAAAAAAAAAAAAATTAGAGTGAACCACACTTCAGTTTACTTGGTTGGCACTATCAGGACAACTGTTTGATATAAAAATACATTTTGATAGACAATAGAAGATAGTTTGACCCATCTAGCTTGTTGTATAGCAAATATATAAGGTCAATTCTATTTCGTTTCCTCATTTGGCACTTTGAAGCTTGTATTAATTGCAAGAAGTTTGTTTCCTGACCGAGGCTGTATCCTACCTGCATCTGAAGGAATGATAACTTCTATTACAATTGTCAATATAACTGATGTATTCTATTTTTTGTTCTCTTGACTACTTGTTTTCCTGAGGCTGATTTACTCTAGCTAACTATTAAGTTGACTATTTGTTTCGAAGAAACACCAGTTCTTTGTCTTGAGAGAGAAGGGCGATGCCCTCAAATAACTATCAATACTCCAGTAGAAAAAGAAAGCAGAGACCCAAGAAGGATTAAAGGGTAGTTCGAAGAAACACAAACAAAATTCGGACAGTTAAACATTAGAATATTGACGGTTGCTCTGGAAGTGGTATAGAAAACTGGGAACATCCTCCCTTAGGAAAAAAGGTAGGAGGAAAGGTTAACTTCTAATATTTATGCAGCTGATTTCAAACAAAGTCTAATGTGTTTCATAAAAGTTGCACAGAGACTTGTTAATTGGGAAAGCTTGAATTTGAATATCTATTTATAAATTTACCTTTTGGTATACCAAGGTTCTGAGCACGCTGGCTTTTGTGCAGAAGAGTCTTCAGCCATGTGCTTAGTTTAGTGTATTTAGGTGTGCTTGGCTTCTGGCTTCCCAGCACCCAAGATCAGGAAACCAACTTTGTCTAAAATTAAGCAAATACTAAGGAGTTTTGCTGGGTCAGAGTGGCTGGAATGTGAAGGGCTGAGTTACTAGAGAACATTTCTTGGAGACAGCCTCAGAGAATAGGATGTGCACTACATTGTAGCCAGTGAAATAATTATACTTTACTTATGCAGAGTTTTAATCAAGAGAAGCCAACATTGTGAAAATCGATGAATAGACCACTTTTTGTGAACAATCTGGGAAAAAAAAAAAAAAGAAGGCATTTGCATTTCAAAGTTAATTGCTGCATTTTTTTTTTTCTAGGTTTTGCTACAAGAGACTTCTGTAGGAAATGCGGCTCAAGTTTTATGTAGTAAGCAGCTCAGATGGGGATCTGAGGGCTCTGTTGAGTGCTGTTATATGGGGAGGGATTGCTGTTTATCATATTCAAATATTCTTCCTGCAATAAAATTAAACATGAGTTTTGTACATGTGTCCTTGTGCTCCATCAGCTTTTTGGAACAGTGATCCAGGAGACAGCAGGTGGCGTTTCTTGCTCATGCTTTCCTACCAATGTGATTTCCAGGGATGACTTTTACCTGCAGTGTCAGTTATATAAAGGTGGGGCAGAATGAAAGGTTTGCCCCATGTTTAATGCATGCCACCGTAAAATGGAAAATCCAGGCATTAATCAACAGCCTCAAATGTCTAGTGTTGGGCATAGATGGCAAACCTATAGATTTACAGCATTTAATTTGAGATGTACTGCATTTATTGAAACAACTCATCTTTGCCAATGATCACAATCCAGTTTTTACAGTATTCTGTGGAAATATTAATCAATGATGGGAGACAGGCTGCTGATGTTACTTCTAGCACACCAATCACACTTACAAAGGCTTACTTTACCTTTGAGAGAAAGTTGGGCACCTTTTCCAGCTTGAATTGTAAACGCACTCATTTTTGTATTCACATGGGACCTGGATTGTGTGCAGTCTTCAAAGGATTGATGTTCCTCTGCTATCAATGCTTCTGCTTTTCTCCATGGGTTAATACCTCTTTCTTTTTCATACTCCTTTCCACAAGCATCTTAAGTCTTGGTAAGGAAGGATCACTTCCTCTGTGCTTCTCCCAAGTTAATTTTCTGCTTCAATAAAAAGGTGAAAGGTTTAGTCATTGCCAGGGAACTCAAGAATGCTTCCAGGCCTCAGGAGTATTTTTGACATATTTAATGGACCTTCTACATGTTTTTAAATAACTTCTGAAACAAAGACTTGTTAGAACTTTGCAGTCCTATAGAAAGTAGGGAGACCCATAGTATATAGGTCTAGACCTATTCAACTTTGGGTTTGCTTTTCTTTTTCCTCAGGGTTATTTCAGATTGCATCCTAAATTTTTTTTATTGTGAAATAAGTGGAGACTTGTTTGTTTTAAAACTACATCTGTTGTGGCTGCTTACATGCCCTTCTGCTGCCACATACTCCTTAGCAAATTTATTAAAAGTAGATGCTCATACACCCCCTTCCTCTTCTGTTTCTTTTCACCTACTGCTTATGAACAGTGTTTTGAACTCAGCAGATGTTTCATTGTCTGCTCCCCTTCCAGGCTACTTTTTAAGTCACCTTATTTTCATCTGATTGATAAATTTAAGCAGTAAGGGGACTAGGAAGGTCCATATCTGTCTTTGCTGTGCTACTGAAGATGGTTGGCTGAAGATGTTCAGGAGGTTTTGCTGTGTTTTTGCTCTGTGCAGTTGTCTGGACCTCTTAGTAATTACAGAAGCACATGCAGTGAAAACCAATATAGTCTGACTTCACCTCCTCAAAGTGTAGATGCTGGGGTTTGCAAGTACTGATGCTCTAACTAACTACAAAACTGTTTGTATACTGTCAGGTAGGGTCAGCTCCCAAGTTCTTATGCCAAGCAGCAACTGAAAATAAATGCAGGACCACTGATATCAGAGGGAAGTTGAGTTAGGGACCACCTGTGCAAATCAGACAAACAGGATCAGAACCAGCAGAGCCTGATTCTGGTGTCCATGTGAAGGGTAAAAGTGGTGTGGTAGTTACAGGGTAGTTACAACCCTTCTATGGAGCTGAAGGCAGCAATCTGACAACCAGTCTGGAAGTCGTGGAGGTGCTTCCCAGGCTTGTTCATCCTTTGGACTGTCACCCCTTCTTGATCTTCTGTGTGGGCACTGGTGATGCTGCTGGGCCTAACCTGGAATGCGTTAAGGGTGGCTACAGAGCACTGGCGATGAGGGGTGCAGCTGGTGTCTCCTCAATTCCATCTGAGGGAGGGAAAGGCCTAAGCAGAGATGGACTGGTCCAGGGTGCCATGGCTGGGCTACATGGGTGGTGTCACAGGTAGGGCTTTGGCTCACAGTCACAGCGAGGGCTACTGAACTGGGAATGGGGCATGCTTGACAAAATGTGGCAAGGGTGTCTTTGCAAACAGGCTTCCTAACCTAACAAGGAGGGCTTTACATGAGGTATGCCAGGGACAGTTATCATAACCTGGAGAGAACCAAGGACACAAAAGGCAGAGCAGACACGTCTGGGAGATGGCATGGCAGGGGAGGCTCTCACACTTCCCCTGTAAAAGCAGCACAACTGATGATGGAACCCATATCAAATGCCCGTACACAAATCCATGTCGCATGAGGAACAGGGAGGACAGTCAATGCACAGCTCCAGAGCTAAGACCTCACTGGGATCATGGTGGTGTGGTGGGATAACTGTCATGACTAGAGTGCTGCAATGGAGAGATACAGGAAAGACGGGTGGCCAGGAATGGCAGAGAAGTTGAGCTCTGTATAAAGGAGTCATATGGATGGAACTTTGCCTTGGGACAGGTGAGGAGCCAGTAGCAGGCTTGTGGGTATGGATCAGAAGACCGACCAGCACAGGTGATGCTGCAATGGGTATCTGCTACATCCCATCTGGTAAAGGAGTGGGGGCAGGTGAAACGTTCTTTAGGCAGCTGGAGAAAGTCTCAGTCTTGGATCCTAGTACCTGTGAGTGACTTTAATCACCCAGCTGGAAGGGTAACGTGGCTGGGCACAACCTATCCAGGAGATTTCTGGAATGTATTGAAGATAATTTCCTGATGCACGTGACTGGTGAACTGGTGAGGGAAGGTTCTCTGTTAGACCTGCGACTCACAATTGAGCAAAAACTGGTAGATAGTGTAAAGGGCAAGGGGATCCTTTGCTGCAGTAACAATGAGACTTGTGGAGTTTAAGTTCCTGAGAAGAGTAAGCTAGATCCAGGAATTCAGAAGAGTAAGTTTTGGCTTGTTGAGAGACCTGCTTGAAGGACCCCGTAGGAAACTTTTCTGAAAGAAAAGGGGCCTCGGAGACCTGGTTGATATTCAAGGACTGCATCCTTGGAGCACAGGAATGATCCATCTCAGTGTGCAGAAAGTCAAGCAAGCTGGAAAAAGGCCAGTATGGATGAACATGGAGCTCCTGGCTGAGCTCAGACAAAAAAGATGCACACAGAAGGTGGAAGAAGGGATAGGCTACCCAGGAGGAATGCAAAGACATCTGTGCATGTAGAAATGGAGTCAGGAAATCCAAAGCTTAGCTGGAGTTGAAACTACAAAGAGAGGTGAAGGATGGTAAGAAAAGTTTTTCTAAGTATATTGGCAGCAAAAGAAGGGTTAGACAGAATGTGGGCCTACTGGTCAGTAAGGCAGGGGAACTAGTGACATGTGACAGGGAAAAGACTGAGGTACTCCGCCTTTTTGCCACCAAGCTGATCAGTGAAAGAGAGGCTGGAAGAAATGGGTTTGCTCAGCCTTAAGAAGAGAAGACTCAGGGAAAACCTTATTCCTGTCTACAGCAACCTGATCAGAGGACAAAGAGAAGATGGAGCTAGACTCTTCTCAGAGATGCGTGATGATAAGATGGGGCAATGGACACGAGTTGAAACATGGGACGTTCTGATGAGGTATTAGGTTTTAAAAAGTAATCAGGAGGGTGATCAAACCCTGGAACAGATTGTCCAGAGAGGATGTAAAATCTCTGTTCTTGGAGGTGTTCAAGACCCAACTAAGCAACCTGACCTGATTAGGCCTGATCTGAGCTGGGGTTTGGACTGGATGACCTTTGGAGGTTCATTCCAAAATGAATTGTTCTGTTATACACCCAGGTGAGCTACTGACTATCCTGGCTTGCATTCCCCCACTGTCCTGCAAGAAACAAATGTACATGAAGATTTCAAACTCCCAACATGCCACAAAATAACTGGCTTAGTAGATGGCAGCTATGCGTTTGTATAGAAAAGGCTCTCTTTTTTGGTCTCTTCTGTATTGAGGACAGTGATCACCCAGCTGGAGAGGATTGCCTGGTCCTCATGCTCATTTGGGCTGTCAGGGTCATGAGTTACAATAGAAATTCTGGACTCAGACCTGGCCTCTCTGATGCCCCTTTGCTATCCAGAACATAGCAATGCAAATTTCCAAACATGTGCTGTACAAATAGGCAAGATGATAACATATCTGGCTAATTCCACTCTTTGGACAGGAAATCACCAAATTTAGCTAGATGTGGTATAAGACCACAGTGGCCTTGGGAACTCTATAGTCAGCAATGATCTAGTAGACATCCTGAATGGCTATAAATAGTCTTTTCACCAGTTCTTTATAGGACCTGTGTTATGTGGTCAAATACTACTCCTTTTTTGCTGGCAAAATTCTCTAAAATCAAATGTCCAAAATTCTTTGGTAGTGGATTTGAAATTAGCTCAAGAACAATGTCAGTTACTTTTATCTACAGTGGAACTGCAACACATTTTATTCCTTTCCTACAGCTTGTCTGATTCATATTGTAAAATTCAAGACTGAAAGGGCTAAGATCAATATTGTGTTGCTACCTGGATTGTTCTAGACACAACTGGTGTCCTCAGCCTCTGATTCAAATGTTCAATTGATAGATTCTCCATTAAGTCACCAAATTATTGCTACTTCTCTCATTTATTTGAATATAACATAACTCCTGGTATTTTGGCTTGATATGCTGGTACAGAGTTTTCACAAACAGCTCATGTGTATGGCCTTTTAATTCCACATAGTATCAGCCTTTATTTGTCTTCTGAAACTTCATAATTTACCAGGATAAAGGAAAATGCGCATCTCAGATGAGATTTGCTTTACCATACCATTCAGAACAGACCATTAAAGCAACAGTCTTAATGTTTCTTGTTATCTTTGGGGTAATTTAAACAAACATCTCCTTTTCACATACAATATCAAATCAGATAAGGATGTAGACTACAACCATGTTACCAGCAGTCTGCTCTAATTTTCTTACCAAATAGCCACAGCTCTATGTGCAAGTCATACCCACTGCCTGCTTCAGGAACGAGGCAGAAAAAAAAAAGTGGATTCACTTCTGTCACACACAAATCTTTGACTTGACTGCTTGGGCTGAAGATATCCTTGGACAGGTGACATGACTGTTGTCTGAAATAGATGGGGCTCTTAGT